AAAAAGTATTTTGTCACATGTGAAACTTAAATGCCTCCTAACAAGCAAGGTTTGTCAACCCCTTGCCCAAGGGATAAATCTTGCTTTATTGTCTCTTATTGGTAAATTGTTCAACAATTAAGGCATTACTTAGGCATTACGTTAAAGATTATTATTCACAGGCTGGTGAGATAGCTCAGTGGTTAAAGGAGGCAGCCATGAAAGCCCAGTAACCTGAGTTCAATCCATAGAATCCAATGTAAGTAGGAGACAAATGACTTCACTGAGTTGTTCTCTAACCTATACACACACACACACACATACACGTGCATGCACACACACATAAACAGCAACTAATAAAGTAAAATTTATTCTTCAGAATTGTATCTGTCCATAGGACAGGATTCCACAGGATACAGACTTACTGCCTTGTCCAAAAATATAAACCCAGTTTTGCATTCCACTATTTTAGCGTTCTCTTTCTGCTCAGTCCTTCAGCTTATTATATTGTACTGATTCTTTTTATCATTCAAACATATTTCTGACAAGGCTGGACCGGATGTGTTAGAATATTATGGTTTGGCTCCTTTTCTTTTTTGAGACTGAATCTTTCAAGGAAACCCAGGCCCGGAATTCACTACGTAACCAGGCTGGCCTCAAGCTCAAGAGATCTGCCTGCCACTGCCTCCCAAATGATGGGATTAGAGGCATGCACCACCATGCCTCACTCAGAATATTATGTTTCTAAACTTTCGAAAATTTTTCTTTGACATGTTCTTTTAAAGTAAATTATTTGACCTAACAAGATAGCTCAGTGGGTAGAGCGCTTTGTATGCAGAGTTAGATCCCAGTTCCCATATGGAGCAGGGAAAACAAACAAACAAAAAACAAAACTTCTCCTATGAGCTGTCCTCTGACCTCCACCTGCACAGCTAGAACTTCCAAGCACCCATAATCAAAATGTACTTGCACACACACACACAGACACACACCTGTTTTTAATAAAATAGTTTTAGAAAATAGAAAATCAACCATCAAAAATCCTATGGTTGCCATTGTAGTGTCAGATCATACTGTTATCTCTTTTCTGTAGTGGACAATGGGGGCGCTACTGAATCCTTTGGTGGGTAGAATGACTTTGGTTGAACCACATATCCCCATACACAGAGAAAAATGTAGTAATCAACAACTTATGGGGGGGGGTGTGCCTCATTCCTTAGAAGAGTACAGAAAAGTTTCAATTTTCTCTAGAAGTACAAATTTCTTCCCTGAAATATAATGTAAGTTACATCCCCAAGAAACCCTGAGCAGGAAGTCCATCTTCACAAGTGTCCCTTGTTTAATAGGAAATGCTTGAGTGTGGCCCACACACAACAGGCAGAAAGCTCCAAAGGGCACTGTAGTCCACTCCACGTTTCTCTGTCTAGAGATCTTTTATGTTTATATAATTGTCTATGTGTCTAGCTTTCTACAGCAAGGCAGTGAAGAGTCTAGACCTGCTGGCGCAAAGTTGTCTATGTGTCTAGCTTTCCACAGAAAGCCAGTGAAGAGTCTAGACCTGCTGACTCAAAGTTTGATTAAGATCCCTCTTATCAGATGCTCCTACCTCTGTAGAAACCTGATATGCCAGGGTGGGGCAATACCCAGGGGAGAAGAGGCCTCCACCCTTTCAGAGGAAAAAGGGAGGGATGATGGTGAAGGATTGTGGGAAAGGATGGGGGAGGGGCTTTGAATGGGATGTAAAGTGAATTTAAAAACAAACAACAAAAACAAACAAACAAACAACCCCCCCCCATCTCTCTTATCTCTTGGCCATAAAACTCATTGCATCCTGCATGCTCTTCAGTGGGTCCACACTGAGTGGCAGGCTTCCAAAGGCCCAACAGATCCATCAACTGAGAGGCCTTTAGGAAAGTACTTTCGTCCATCAGGTCTTCTCAGGCTCCTAGCTTTTTTCTATTTTTGTAGTAGATTGTGTCCGTGTGTGAGTGTGTGTGTGAGTATGTGTGAGTGTATGTGTGAGTGTGTGTGTGTATGTGTGAGTAAACATATTTGTATACATGTGTATACATATTTTTGACCATTCATGAGGAGGTCAAAGAACAATCCATAGGAATTGGGTTTCATCTCCTATAACTTGGTCCCGTTCTTCCTCCCAGCCCCATGCTCCCAGAAATAAGATTTGGACTCAATATATATTTACAAATACCTTGGCCATATACCTAGGCTCTTCTCTGACTAGAATAATAACATAAAATAACCCAATTATTTTAATCTACATTCTACCATGTCACTGGTTACCTGTGCTCAGGTACCATGTGTCTAGTCATATCTTTCCCGGGCAAATCTCCCTTGCCTGGCTCTATCCCAGAATTCTTTCTGCCTCTGGGATGTCCCAATTTCTATTCTACAATTTCCTATAGGCCATAGGTTTTTTAATTGACAGGTGATGCATCCATACAAAACACAAGATGGTCTCTCTATAGTCTCCTACATTGGGCTCTGACATCAAACTCAGGCCATCGGGCTTGGCAGCAAGCTCCCTTACCTACTGAGCCATCTCACCGCCATGTCCTAACGTAATATTTTGTATTCCTTTTGCCATTGTGTTTAGTTTTTAAGTTTCTGAGACAGTATCCCAGCTCAGGCTGGCCTCAAATATACAATCCTCCTGCTTCTGCCTTCTGAATGCTAAAATCACAGCCCTGCACCACCACACCCAGCTCTCCATTATATTTTATAACCTAAAATGATTGTAACAGAAGAAACATTTATATCTTGAGAAAACTTAGACACAGAGAGAATAATGGAAACAACTGGGTCTACACGGCTTCAGGCAGCATCCACACTCTCAGAAGATGGCAGTGCACTGAATGGAGTTGCACTGCTGTTGCCTTACTACTGACACAAACGCCAGCTCTCACCTCAAAGACAGTCTGAGAATTTGTTTTAGATCCAAGCATGAGTAGCCATGTCAGGGAACACAGATTTAGTTTAAGCCAAATACCATATTCCAGGACAGTAAGAGTTTCACTAAGTTTTCCCAGGAACAGAACTAAGAAAATCACAGAGGAAGACACTTTGAATGCATTCCTGAAAACATGACATAGGTGAGTTACAAAGAAGGGACATATGGAGTGTAGGTGGCAGATGACTCTAGGCTTGTGGATTGGTGGGAGCTAGCTTTGTACATTCCAGAAAGATTTACCCAATAGGCACAAGGACATTAAGGCACACAAAAAGGCAGGTAATAAATATCACTTAGTGGCTCAAGACAGGGCAAGATAATTTGGTTCTGGGCCTGCAACTTTTCCAACTCTCCACAGTCACTGAAATCCTGATCAGTCAATCAACCTTCTAGAATGTTATGTAGATGATACTTTTTCTCTGAGAACTTACTGGGTCCCATTTTGGCCCTGGTTTGGGCCTTGAGGACAAACCTGAGCCTGTCTTGAGTTTTGAGACCTATCTCAGTCACTTCCGTACTGGGGTGACTAAACAAGACCCATTTGGCCCTGCCTCTGCTCAGCTGTTGCTGATGTCAAACTTTGCATTTGGCCCTGTCAGTCACCCCATACCCTCCGTCACCCTTCCCGCTCCCTACGTCATCTCACCCCACCAAAACTCCCCCTCTCTATGCTCCAAGTTTATATAGGTGAGAGGCTGAAGCAATAAAGTTGAGTTCCTGCTTAGACAAGACTCCTGGCTGGGTGTGTTTCTTTGGGCTGCTGACACTCACCATTCTGCTCAGCTCTGGAGAGACCCAGACCCGGCTTTAAGGAGCCGACAGGAACTTTCAATTAACACTGCTGAAAAGAAAAAAAAACAGAATTTCCTTCCTTGATTCCCTTCCCAACCACAGAGTGATTTGTACCTTTTCTATATTTCAGGGAGCATCCTTAAGATAGCTGTCACCCAGGGTTGGAGGGATGGCTCAGGGGTTAAGAGCACTTGTAGAGGTAAATTCAGTTTCCAGTACCCATATCAGGCAGTTCACAGTTCCCTGTTACTCCAGCTGCAGGCTAAATTCTGGATGCGTGTACAAACACACACACACACACACACCTGCAGGCATTTGTGTGTGCATACATATAAATGAAATAAATTAAGAAAAAAGAAAAAATAAGATAGCTGCTGTCCAGCATTTTGTTTAGGACGGCTTGTACCATCAAAGGCTACAATGAATCATCCTAGTAGAGAAGGGTTAGGGCCTCTCAGAGTGAGTATCCAGGAGAAAGGTCGCTGGGGTCAGAGTGGGTCCTGCTGGTATGGCATCAGGAAACACAGGTCCTGATTCTGAATCCTGCTGTATTGTATGCTGCCCTGGCATAGAAAGTTTTAATTCTTGCTTATTTTATTGGGTAAGGATTGAAGCTAGGACCTCCTTGGATGCTAGATAAAACACTCTAGTGCCGAGCTAAAAAAATACCTAGCCCTCTGTTCCTTTTTTAGATACACTCTTAATATTGCTCAAGATGGTCTTGAACTCACCCTGTGGCCAAATAAGACTTTGAACATATCATACTGCTGACCGGGATTACAAATCTGCACCACTAGCCATTGTATAAAGGATATTTTAAAACGCCCCTCACCTGGTAGCACCAGGCTGGGTGTTGGGGAGGGTCCTGCCTCCTTAAAAGCTTCCCGGCAAACCGCCCCAGCCCTGCTGGAATGCGGCAGGACCTGGTTTTACAGCCCTGGCCACTGAGGCTGCCAAATCACCGCAGAGCTGGCAGTATTGCGCTACCTCACCAAGTTCTTGTGAAACAGTTAAAAGAGAAAGTGCCAAGCACGTCCTAAGTGGCTTCACTTCTACTTTGATCATGGACGAGCCATCAGACTGCACTGTAACAACAGAAGTCCCGAGAAGCCGAAAAGTCTCCAAAAGGGACGCGAGGCGGGAACCTGATTTGAGGAGGAGGGTACCAGGAGAGCAGCCAATCCCGCGCTCCCCGGGAGGAAGAGGAGGAGCCAGAGCCGGTGGACCCCGCACTGCTCACTCCCGCGCGGCGCCGGCCCCGCAGTCTCCTCCCGGTCCCGCGCCGCAGCCCGCCGTGGACTTCCCTGGTGCAGACATGGCCTCGGGCTCCGCCTGCACAGCGGTGAAGGTGAGATCACCCTACAAGCTGCGAATGGGCCACCCCTGCTGGGTTCCCTCTCGCCCCTCCGTAGGGACCGCGCCTCCAGGCTGTGTCCCCAGCCCGAGCGCCCCCCACCCACAGCTCAGCAGAGAGGGACAGGGGCGCGGCACCCCGGTGTTCCCAGCCTTTGAAGTCATCTGCATTCGGGGCCCGAGTGGTGGTAACCAGGACTCTGATGAGGAGTGGGGTGATGGAGGGGGGACTGCGCCCCGCTGCCACCCTCCTTTAGTACCACTCCCCCCTGGAGATGCTCCAGGCGGGAGCCGACGCGTGGCCCAGCTTCTGCGGCTGCTGTGCGGGTCCCTCCAGCCTTACGGGACTTGCGCTTCCGCTATCTTGACTCGGCCCACGTGGGAGAGCTGGCACTTGCTCTTTTGCACGCTTCGCCCCCCCCCCCCCAAACTTAGATTTCCTTTTGCTTTGTTTTACCTCGGCAGCGCAGAGCTGTAGGAGCTCTGAGACTTTTAAATACTGAAACGGGAGTGTGGACCGCTCCCAGCCTGGAGGCCTCTATCTTTAAACTGCTTTGCAACCTTGAAAGTTAGAGCTATTTTCTTAGGCCTCAGGTCCCGAGAGATCTGGACACAAGGGACTCTTGTGCAGCGGGAACAGCTTGCCAGAGGAGAGCATGAGTTCTGAGAGTCCGGGTGAGCCTCCCCTGGGTCTTTTAAACACATCCTGATTGATTAGTAGAGAGTGGAATAACGGAGCACAGGAAAAATTGGTTGGCTAAGTCCTTTCTAGGCTGTTTATTATTAGCCAAGAACGCAGTTAATTTGATTCACTTTAGGAATTTCCAACCCGTGATACAGGAAGTGCACTGTTTTCTCCAGGCATCCTTTCTGATTGCCTGCAGTGCTGTTTGACTCCCTTGCAAGAGGCCCATCTCTGGATTTAGCCTGCAACCTGCCTGGGCTTTGTATACTGGGGCCTTGCAGGGCTTCATGAACCACTCAGGATGAGAGGAGAGGGTGAAGTTGCTGCACCCTGACACACTGACCAACTTTTCCCCCCCCAATTATGAAAAGGATTATTTACATTTATAGAAAGCCACGGTTCCAGTCAGCAGGAACGGGGCAGAAAGGGTCTTCATGTGCAAGGTACAAGGTACAGCAGATACTTACGTATAAAGTGGGGATTTTTATCATATTTTAGGCTGGAAAGGCTAGAAATATAGTGTCTGTATTGGGTATGATTGAGTTTTTAGGAGTGGAGATAATTCCAAATGTCCATGGGTGTGTTATTTGGCCATACTTGAACTTTTCCCCTAACGGCATATTTTAGGAGGGGCCAGATGTAGTAATTTGTTCTTAACTGAAAAAAGGGTATCTTGGCATGTAAAAATCCAAGAAATGTCACTGAGGTAGAGGCCTATGATTTGAAGGTAGATCTGTGTGTCATCTCTGACCCACAATGTGAGTAAAACCAATATGGCTGGTACTTCACACTTAATCATCCCAGTCAGGATAGTGCTATCCGTGCGAGGACCAGCATATCTCAACAGACAGAATTTGCTTCGCTCTGGTTAGCATCCTGCCCGACACACCGTTTCCCTGCAAAATGAATGTGGTCTGCTTAAGAGCAGAAAGAGCTATGTAAATATTGAGTGATAATGTATTTTTTTTTATCTTGGCAAGCTTTTGAAATAAAATTTAAGAGATATAAATGGTGCTAGGCATGTCTGCTGAGTTCTCTTTAAGATTGCAACAGGTGAGAGCACTGCTGATAAGATGCTGGCACCATATTCTACAAACTGCTAAGGCAGCATCCCTAATAGAAAAGATGAAGGGTCCGTATCCAGAGTGGAATAACCTGTAAAAAGGATATCTTAGCGCTAGAGTGAAGTGGCTCAGCCTCTGGAGTGCTTGCTGCCCAAGTGTGAGAACATGAACTTGGACCCTCCACACCCATGCCGGGAAGGAAGCTGGTTGCAGACACAGCATCAATCCTGCCAACAGAGAGGCAGACAGGTAGACTCTTGGAGTTGAAGACTAGCCAGCCTAACCAAATTGGTGAGCTCATGATTTGATGAGAATGCCTTTCTCACTGAAAGACAAGTTAAGTTTAACTGAGGAAGACACCTGATGCCTACCCCTGGCCTTTGCACACACATACGTGTGTGTACACACTGCACACAGACTGTATTTTATCTGTACATCAGGTAAGAGAGGTGGATTGTTCACTTGAGATCATAAGACCATGCAGATTCTTTCTTACAGATGAGAAGCTGGAGGCCTGACGGATCAACTAAAGTGTCCTGTACAGGTCCTAGATAATGACAGGCTAATGCCTGGCATTCCCAGCAAGTAGATGCAAGATAGTTCTTGGACCTGAAACAATAGTTTCATTTGCTTTACTGTGAGTGAAGAGGAAATAGGGGGCATGGCCTGCGTGCACACACAGGCTACCACTTCTGCAGAAAACCACTGAGCATTGTCCAAGTCTGGGTGTAGGAGGCACATTTGCGTCTGGCAGGTGGTACGTGGCCTGACTCACTGCACCATCCCATCTGTTACTGAAAAGCAACCATTTTATTCTATATCCTCAATGAGAATATTCCCACACTGGACCCCAGAGGCCTGGCCTCCTATCTTCTGTTGGCAGTGGACTGTCTTAGGGCAGTGAGCTGTAGGTCCTCTGCTAGAAGGCCAGTGCTGATCACAACTACTGTGAGATGCTAGACTTAAATACAGTTAACATGTCCCACACCCAGCTCAGTGCTTGCTCCGTTAGTGCTAACTCTGGTACCTTCCTTTGCAGATGGAAATATTACCAGGGGGTTCAAGTTTAAATTCAGTACCGTTGGTTTAAGAGATATGATAGACCTTTCCGATGAAAACCATCCCGTTTTGTGTGGGCAGTCTAATGTTCATCATCTCAATGTAATCTGTCTGTCTACTGGCAGAATCCTACCCAAAAATACTTATTGGAAACCTGCCAGGCTCTGAGAATATACAGTTGAGTGAAAAACAGTGTCCTTGTTTTCTTTAAGTTTGTCTTGTATTGGGGCATAAAAGACCTTTAGGCAGTAGTTTTTAAAGTCTACAACCAGACTGGTTGTTTGAGGAGATGGGGTGGCTGGAGGTGATTAAGTCCTGGTTATAGAGCTTCCTTGTTGGCAATATCACCCTTATAAAAGGCATCAGGCCCTGAGAGCCACATGGTTCTGCCGTATTAGAGACCATGTACAAACCCAAGAGCTCTCCTTGGTACTAAATTGGCCATAATCTTGGGTTCTCCAAGGGCCTGCAGATTCTGAGAAAGGTGTTTATAAGTCTGATTTTATTCTACTTAGGCACATCGAAGACAAAGTCATAGCTGAAATGATGATAAAAAAAACCTAAGATTATAGTGGACAGCTAGGACTGAGGAAGAATTGAGCGTGAAGGCCTTGAAATAGAAACGTCTGTGCCTGTGATCATGAGAATTAGTTGGGTGTAGACCTTCAGGATATAAATCACAAGAATTTGCTAGCACCCCAAGGCAGAGAGTTTTAAGCTAGCCTTAAACTATGTAGAACGCATAGTGAGTTCTAGGTTAACTGTGGCTATACAGTAAGACCCTATCTCCAAAAAAAAAGGATTTGATTCTAAATGCTTTGGAAGCCATTTAAGGATTCTGAACCGAGAGTAGTGTCTGATTTATATTTTAAGTGATTCCTTGGCTACTCTGTACAGAATTGCCTGTACTGGGCAAAGGACAACATCTGGCCAGAAGCCATGGCACTTGTGCCAGCTTGGGCTGGCAGCCATGGAAGTAGTGAGGCTCTGCAGGCAGAGTAGAGATAGGATGTGGGAGTATAGCAAGAGGGAGAGGGTGTTTCCTGTGTCTGGTTCCACCCGTAAAGGTTCGGAGGAACCCTTTGCAAATAGAAGCGAGGAGGCTAAATACAGGATTCCTTCCACTAACGCGTTTCTGATCAGGCGCTAAAACATGAGGTATGAGTGGTCTCTTCACTACACCAGCAGAAGAGCTGCAGAGCACGTCCAGGTTTAAAGGGTAGAAGATAAGTGGAGGCAGCAGGAGGCAGAGGCCGAGAATTAATAGGAGGACATTGCCCAGGAGGACTTCAGAGAAACATGTCCAGGTTTAGCCATGGGCTGGCAGTGTGCTTGATCAGACAGAAGGCAAAGCAAGTCTTTGGCATCTGGAGAGGGAAGGGAATTTGGAGAGCTGCTTCAGTGACCTAAGTTATGCCCCTGGTGAGTTTCTCCTCTGGGAGACAAGAAAATAATGTTGATCGTGTTTAGGTGGATAAAGAGGAAATATGGTCCCTCTGTAGGTCAGTAGTAGACTCCAACAGTGGTATTAGGAAGACAGCAAGTCTGAATGTCCTGGTTTGGAAGATGGCTTTTAAAACTCTCTTCTGGACCATCTGGAGCATGGTTGGTTGCCACCGTTCTGTAAGATCGTCTGGAGCTTTGCAGCACACAGAATCTGTCCTTAGCCTCTCCCCAACAAAGTGCCAACAGTATCTCCTCCCTCCTGTGGCAGACATATGTTACATACTCTCAGACACTCTGAGGAAAGCGATTTGGTTAAAGACCCGTAGGCCATTGCCTGAGAGACTGCTTGGTTACAAGAGATGGGAGAGAGAAAGACAGGGAAGTAAGGGCCTGAGCTGCCTTGAGAAAGTTACTTGTCCTTCTTTGTGTTTTGCTAGGAGTGGTAGGATATGGAACAGAAATGGATATCACATAGTAGTCTATTTGATTTCCATGCTGGTTCTACAAGCTAATTAAAACTGACCCACATAGGAAAAAATGAGGTAACCAACAGATAACATCAATGTTTGTTCGTGATGGACCCAAGATCCTTATCTCAGGTAGGAAGTTCGTTGGTTTGACTCCACTGATTCTAGAGACATTCGCATTCTTGTCTACTTGCTCTATAGTCACACCCTCCATCCACACAGGCCCTTCTCCCTCTTAACTTCCTGTTCTCAGAGCCCTCTGGATTCCATGGAG